GCTCTGTCTCTATCTCGTAGAGAAGATCGCGAATCCGTTTTCGAACAATGCGCGGCCGCTTCGGGAGATGAGAAGGTACACGAACGAGGAGGGAGAGCGCCGGCCGGCCGGGCAGGATCGGGCAAAGGTAAGAGCGAACGCGCAAGGAAGAATTGTGAGAAAGGAGAGAAAATTGCAAAACGACATACCGTGCGACCGCACACGCCGAGAGGATAATTCCACGGCGCGCGGTTCAAAGCCGCGCGCATGCAATTTGGCCTCGCGCCAACGTTTAAAATGTACGTTACAACACAAACACCCCGGCGCGGAGGTTTCGTTTGAAAAGGCGGGTAGAAAAGGATAACGCGAAATCTGCGCGGTTAATTCTAACTGCGTGATAGACAAACGCTGACGACGCTCAGTACGAGAGTCACAACTGAGGCCCGGTTTCACCAACGTTGCTTAATTTTAAGCTTACGATAGCTTAATTCACCCTTCGGCTTCTAATAATATAACGTACCGGTTTTTAGTGAGGCTTATTGTCGCCAGTGGTAATTAACACGGGGAAATTTAAAAAAAAATCGATCAAACTTGCATAAAAAAAATGATATATGCAATATTTAAATCACCGTTTCGACCTCTTAATCGGGTCCTTTTCAAGTACAATCTGGAAACAACCGCGACAGCGTACCGGCTTATAAACTTAATTTCAACGCTACCACGCTGTTCTCTGATCTAGTCCGATTAGTGGAACACCGTCGGTCTGCACACGAAAGCCACACAAGTTGTATATTACGCAATATATTACACAAATGTTTTCACGAATCGACAGTTCTAGCGGCAAAGGATGCAAAGTTGCTCCAGCATTAAGTTCCAGTCTACAACAGATGATTTAAGTCCCAGGCCCTAATTCACCAACCACGGACGCGTATTCTCCTCATTTATGACTGCGATTGGTCAATTTCTTGGTGCTTAAATCATCAATTTCAGACTGGGACTAAGAGACGCGTCTTAAGGCAGATTTCTCAGCCAACGCATGAGGAACGTAAATTCTTGCTTACTGCGACTCGCTAGCTCTTCGCCGCTTCCCGAGCCAAAGCTGCGTTTACCTGAAATCTGCATTTATCTACGTCTTATAACGTCTCGATATGTTATATTATTATATTCCCCTTCCTCCCCCTCCCCCCTACAGCGAAAACCGTTTGAAACCCCCGCGCGAAATGTTGCTCGTAATTGTCGGCTTTACGCGCGACTCTCGCTCCTCTCGCGCGTGCACGCGATCCTGCTTGCTGAAGTGTGTTAATATGTGATTTACACGAGAAGATAGAATTATCGCCGATATACCGCCAGCCAGGGAAGAGACGAGGAAACGAGTCGTTGCGGTTAACGAGTGAATACGACGCCGCACGCTGCCACTTTGCGGGGAAAATTCTTCGGGGTTTGACGGTTCTCCGCGGCAGGACGGAGGAGGGAAGGGAGGTCAGAACGCGCGGATATATTGAAGCCGAAACGCGGGCGTCTCATATTCCCGAGGCGGAGAACTAAAAAAGCCGAGTGCCCACAAATCGGATCAGAACGGGACACCCGTGCTTTCCTCCTCCTCCTCGCAGGATATCGTCGCCATCTGATCGACAGGCTTAGGACAAAGTATCGTGTTACCGGCGCACACTTACGAGGGATCATCTTTATGCGCGTGTGTGAGGCACAATTTGCGAATGTTACTCGCGTGTCTAATTTTAAGCCTCGAAAACGTCACATTTTCCGGAGACGCAGACTTTTATTGCAACGGCTGCGAGAAGCCCGTTTTTTTTTTGCTCTAGAACTTTCGCATTAAAATATTCATTCCGCGTTTACAAGCGTTTGATATACGATTGAAATATTTACTTGCGACACTGAAACGAATAACTTTGAAAGAAAGAGAGCGAGTGGAAAACAGAGGCTCCGTGTCCCGAGGAAGGACGGGTGTCTGTATCGAGGAGGGAGAGAGAGAAGCGTCGAATGTCCTCGGGAATGCATTCCTGCCGTTGGTACAACACACCTGCCGCGGATCCAGGCAGATTGCGGCCTGTTATCGCGATTAAACACGCGCGCATCATTGTCGGCACCGGACGAGAGCGCGAGTAAAAGCCGAATAAATTCAAGGAATTCGCGCTTAAACTCGGTTTCCGTCGCCTTCGCTATTTTTCAACGTCAATGCCCGCGCCCGTCCTCCGTAAACGACAAATCCGCGAACCCGTCTTGGCGTGCTCCTTAATAATGCGTCCTTGAATTCCGGAGCCTTCGCCACGGACCGTCGCATTATGGTCTCCTCATTGGAGCCCGATCCACTGACAATGCGCTCGTCCCCGGCTTAGGACCGATGCGCCGAGAAATTCGACGGAACGTGATGAAACTAAGGTCGTCTTCCGTCTTCGAAGTGATTTCACGCGTCGTAACATGCCCGGCATTCCCAGCAGCGCGTTCCTAAGCTAAACGGACGGTCTGTTTATCTGACAACGATAGTGATGGCAACGGAAGGAGAGAGAGAGATAGACCACGTGGTGACACGCACGCACGTGTTTGTTCGATCGCAGAAAATGGGTCGCGTAAGCCGTAATTCGGGGTGAATATACGAAACGACGTCAACTCTTATAGAGATGACGTAAGGCACGGACTAATCTCGTTCGTGGCCTCATTAGCACGTTTTGTTTTCTCTCTTTCTTCATTTTGCAAATCGCGCACGAGACCGTAACGTCGACTTCCACCAATGTAGGCTAACTTTAATCTCGATTTAACCTACACCTCTTTTATCTCCTTCCAAGAATTCGAAGAGGACGAAATGCGAGCTAAACCGAGATCGATGGTAATCTACAGTGATAGAAATGAACGTAAGAGCACGCTCTATCTCTTGTGAACTTGGTCAACTCGAGGTTCGTAGCTCGCGACGTCGCGGCTTCTCTGCCGCAACATCGATGGAGACAGGTACTGTTGCATTTGTCGACGGCTGCAAGCTAGAAAATTTCTAGATACTCGACGACTTTTCTATCCTGCGGCCAATCAAATGTAATACCAGCCTATTAAGTCGACTTCCTTTCTTTGTATTGCGGTTTGAGCATTTAAAATTTGTTTCCAGATTGTACTTAAACAGAACCCGATAAAGAGGTCGAAACGTTGCGGCTTAAATAAAGATCACCTATTTTGCCAGTCAGGTCGACTTAAAAGAAAAATGTTCCCCCTTGTTTAATTACCACTGGCGGCAATAAGCTTCGCTCAATTTTGATAATTTGTGCCGTTTTTAAATTGTCGAATGCCGCCGGCGAAAAGTGCGCCGTGGAAATTACATCGGCACGCAATGGGAGTATCGACCGTCTGATTTTCGGAGCAGCTTGGCGATTTAAAAATGCATCCCACCAGAAATAGGATGCCTTCAATTACGTTTCCAACTGGGCCATCGGTTTCAGTGTGAAAATGAATTACCGCCGGTATATTTATCGCGCAGCTGCATTTACCGCAGTTTTGCCTCTGACAGCGAGCGAAATGAAGCCCTCCGACAAACAGCTATCGAGATATCATAAGCCAGACATTGAAAAAGTTAGAGATTTTCTCTCGAATATCTCAAAAAGTATTGGGCAAATCGAAAAATGTTTCAGACAAAAGTTCGTATTAATTAGTAGAACGAGATAGTGTAATAAACAATAGGGGATTTCATTTAAAAAATTGAAGGTGACCTTCACGTGACCTTCAAGCAACTCGTCAAGGTCAAACTAATGGGCACCGTCTTGTGTCCCTCCTCGAACCAAACAACTTTTGTCTGAAACGTTTTTTTCTGCGATCAAGAGTAAAAAAGTAATTCGGGGTGGGACATTAAATTGGGACACTCTGTATATAGCCGGGCTATCGTGATCTCACTTACGAGTTCGGCGGTCATCTAGTGGCGGAATACCGTACTTTGAGATGGACGAAATCAAGTGAACAACTCATGGAAACAAAATACTTAGTTGTTGTGTAACATTGAACCTTCTTTTCAGCGACATACCTTTCGTTTCATTCGACAAAATGGGTCTCTCGGTGTAGAGTCCGATCTACAACGTGTTTTTCGCAACGAGAAACGCTCTATTGTATTTTACACAGGCAAATGAATTACGCTCGGACGCAAACACGTAGCAGAGCGGGCCCAGATCGACCGAGTCGCCGGCGACACGTGCGGGCGCCGTGTCGCGAGCAATGAAAAACGCGCCGGGGGTAATCGACGCGGATTTCCCGGAATTTCGAGTCGGACGAAGGCCGAGGCCAAGAACGACACGGGTTTCGGCGCGAGCGCCGGCACCCGAGCGTGGCCGCGCTCGTCTCTCTTCGTCCGAGCGCGCCGGAACGTCCATTAATAAATTTCTCAATAAGAATCGATCGACGCAAAAAACCGGCTCCCCCGTCCGCAACAAGAGAGCGGCAAGGTAAGGCGCTGTCACGCGCGTTCGCGCGCTAACGGAATACGAACGTCATCCCTCACGTTCGCGGGCCGGCGGACGTTTGTGACGTTTCGGCCTGGCGAAGATATGCGGGAGACGTGACAGATCGTCCAAGTCAGGGCAATCGAGAAACAAAGAGAGGAGAGAGAGAGAGAGAGAAGGGAAAACGGCGGCGGAGACCTAGACGGGAGTTTGCGCTCGTGCATCGACGGCACAGAAGTCCGAGAGCTCACCGAAATTATACCGGTTTCGGTATGCCGAGAGGAGAGCTCGAGACACGCCGCCGCGAGACGGAGAGCGGAGCGAGCGAGCGAGAGAGAGAGAGAGAGATTTCCGCGCGTCCGAGGCTCCGCGTCTATTCGCGGCAATTTGGCGAAAGGAATCGAAAACGCGCGCGCTCTCGCGGGAAAGAGACAGCGGCGAGACGAAGCGGGCTAACGGACGGAGAAGGAGAGAGAGGGGGAGAGAGAAAGAGAGAGAGAGAGGGAGAGAGAGAGAAAGAGAGGAGCACAGCGAAAGGGCTCGCCGGTCGGAATCCGTCCCTGGTAGGCGAAACCGGGCGGGCAGCTAACTCACCTCGTGCCACATTCCGCTGGGCTGTACCGCCGACGTTTCCGACGACGCGGCAACCAGGAGGATCCTCCCGGCACGTGACGAATCCTCGTTCGCGAGCGGAGCGGCGCACCTCTCCTCGCCTTTTTTCTTCCCGCGGGGCACCTGCACCGCGCGGCTGTCCCGCTGCACTCGCGCACGTCGCTTTTCAAATTTTCAAACCCACACACTCGCACACACGCAGGCACACAGGCACACGTAGATCCACACACACACGAACGCGCGCGCACGCACGCAGGCGCACGAGACGGGGGATGCGCGCGCGGACGCGGACGCGGGAGCGTGCACGCACGCACGTGAGAGGATGCCTCGCGCGAACCACCGAGCCGCCGACCAACCAACCGACTAAACAGCCAGCCAGCCAGCCAACGGGGCTGCTGCCCGCATACCGACACGCGCACACACGCGCAGACTCGGCAACGGGTTTCTCACGGGGCGAGAAACGTCAACCGACACTCTCGGGCAGCTGCTGCTCAGCTCGATCCCGTAGCCCGGTAACAGCGTCGCGTCGCTCCGCTCCGCACGTTCGCGCCGTGGACCGAACCGGCCGAGCGACCAGTGCGCACTGACTCGCTCTCCGACTCGCCCGGCCTGGCCCCGGCCCCGGCCCAGGCCCGTCGCGATGGCGGGGACCGACCGTACCGAAGGAACCAGCCTCGCGGTCGCGGAATTCCAAAGTTACCTCCGTCGGCGGGGGCACTCGTGGTCTCGCTGGATCGGGACGAAATTCGAAGCGGGATATTATGTCGCTTTGAATTGAGCGCGCTCCTCTCGGCCGCCGCCGCGCGCGACATGATCTCGCTCAAGTTCGAATGTATGAATCAACCGTAACTTTATTTCGTAATATAGTCGCTTTGTTTTTACAGCAGAGTGTCCTGTCCTGTCCTTCGGTGAAGTATAATGAATACACGTAAACGATAATATAATGCGCATGGATATTTATCGTAATCGTACATCAATCAAAAATATTAAAATTATATATATATATGTATATATATAACTGTTTTTCTCCGATAAAGATAATTTACAACATACATCTTTTTTTCCTTTTTATCCTTATGTCTTAGGGCTAACCGACGATTAGGTGTTTTCTTCCTTTCCTCTCTCTCTCGAGCTCACATGTCTCACATGTGGGGCGTTCGATCTCCCATCGGACGCGGCGCGGTCCTCTATAAACATGTTGTATGCCGTATGCTTCTCAATTATCACGCTACAAATTTCTAAATTTGTATTACAAGACATATAACGCTTAATTATAATAGTCTTTATCCTACGATCGAAATTAAACCAACAAAGATACAGTGCACATCGGTACGCGAGTTAAAGAAAGCCGTTGTTGCTTATTTTATGCTCGGTATCTATATAAAACTTACATGGAAACCGTATTTGTAGAACGGATCGTCAAACCGTGCTCCTCGAATACAACGCGGATCTCGTCGATACTTGAACGTATATCTCGTTTACGTATAACATATACGTGTGCGTTTTACACACATATACTTTTCTACATAATATATTATACATGTATATAAATATATATATATATATATAATATATTACATAAAATGGTTACGAAATCTGTGCACCAGAAAGCGTTACACTCATTCTCAATGGATTTCAACGGAGTTCGATCGTTCCTTTATTGAGAACGTACAAATAACATGTCTCTCGCTACAAGATTACAAGTATTCAGGACATTTGAAAGCAAAAGGGATGATTGACTGTACTTGCGAATACACTCTCGATCGATCGACGAAGCCGAGAAAGCGATTTCGTTAAATATAGCGGCAATCTATATTTTCCATGCAGGTTCCGCGTTCATGCTCCTAAGAAACGTCGTAAAGATATTATGCGGCAATGAACTGTCGTGATTATCATTGTCTACTCGTAATTAACGCTCGTAAAGAAATTCACATCAACGTAGCTACAGCGCGATTTTCTGTGATTCCGACGGGTATAAGAAATTCATTGTACATGGAGCACATCGAAGAGGATACACGGACGAAGAACCAAGAACAGAGATTCGACAAAGTGTGTACGTGTGTGTGTATGTGTGTGTGTAAACAACTGATCGCGAAACGAGTAGTAATGGCCGTACCATCGACATTTCTCTACCTATCGTCTAAAATACAGACAAATCTGACTCTAAATAAGAAAAACTGCAAATTGAACGAATGAGTAGCGTGTATTCCGTCAAGACTGAGAAAAGGGGAGTAGAAGAGGGAGGGAGGATATAAGTTTATAATTTTTGACAGCCAGTTACCTCAAGTATCTCTCACGCGTGTCAACGTGAGAGGTAAATAAGGATAAAATTAAAGGTAATATTGGAATAACAGTATTGCGGATTGGTGGTTAGCTCATAGACACTTGTCCATTGGAGAGTAGTCTCTCAACGGCAGCGTTTATGTCTCCGAACGTGGCGATTAACGCTGAAAAATAAAACGCACGGCAGTTAGCTCAGTTACTTCCGTCAGTCGTTATTAAATGTTAAATATTACAGGAATTGTGTTATTAGAGGGAAGTCCTCTATTACGAGACGGCAGGTTGTCAACAGCCAAATCTCTTTTTCGCACCGATGGCGCCTGGTAATTTAGCAGAAACCCTGCTATCCCGTATTAGGATTCTATCTCGTAACAGGGGACTTTCCTCTACATGTTAAAATGTCATTATTTAAGTTTAAGCATCGGAACATAACGTGATTATCTTTACGATCGAGCGACATCGTGTTGGGAATATCACGCGTTGATGAAAGAACTCGTATCTTTTCTCCTAGCTCTTGTATCGATAAAGTGAAAACAAATAAACGAAAAGTCTACATCGTCAGGACGATTCTCACCTTGTAGATTAGCATCTCTATTAAGAAAACCCATAGCCGTAAGTTGCTCTAACTGTGCTCTGTAACGTTCCTCTGGTGGAGGTACAGGTTGACCGTCGACTTCTACACCTTGATTTAATGCCATTGCAGAAACCTAATACACACAAGTGAAATATGACTTGATAAATATAGGATACTTATATAATAATACAAAACTGGACGTTATATAATGAAATAGATATTAAGATTGGCTGTTATTATATCGAAACGCTAGCGATACGCACTTCTTCATTCCCGCTATTGAAGACTGTATTGTTCCGAAAAGGTCATCGTCACGTATTTAAATTAGACTGAATCGATTAAAAAAAAAGCTGTTCGGAAATGGTTACTTTGGCGACAAGAAAATTGGATTACAAGTTTGAACATTGAAACGTTGGCTCTTACCATACGTGCCATGAATTGGGAAAACGCGTCCTGCTGGTTGCTGTCCGCTGGTTGGCTGGTCGGTACGCTGGAATTCGTGCCGCCCGTGTTTGGTGTTGTGGGCGCTGGTGGGACCGTGAGGCCCATGCTGAAACACGCACGTACATTAAAATGACACGTCTGAGGAGCGCTAGAGACATAACGAGAATGAGGAGGCTTTACTTTTCCACGAGTTCGGGAGCGACGGTGCGCAGCTGCTCCATTCCGCGCTGTATCTGCATGATGGCAGCCAGAGCGTCCGGGTTGGTGACGACGCTCTGTATCTGCGGGTTCTGCATCTGTTGAATGAAGGCGGGCATCATCGCGCGCATTTGTTCCTGCATCTGCGGATTACCGCGAAGAAAGGGATTCGCCGCGATCACCCGGGTGGCTATCGCCGGGTCGGCCGCCATCGCCTCCAGCATGGATCTCGTGTACGGAGCGTTCAGCATGTTTCGCATCAATTGCGGGTTCTCCATCATCTGCGCGGTGAGGCTCTGCATGCCCGGCGAGTCCAGCAGGCCTCTGCCTTGGCTCTGCTGTCCCGTCCCACTGTCGCTCTGGCTCTGACCCCACGGATTCGGCAATGGATCGCGATTCTCCTGACCCTGCTGTGGATTCTGCAAATCCTGATTGGAGCTGTTCTCCACCAGAGCGGCAAAGGGATTACGGCCGTTCGTCGCAGCCGCCAGCATGGGCTCCTGGATGTCGCGATACATACGACGTAAAGCGCTGTAGCCGCCGGGTATGCTTTCCAGATTGGAGAGAGCTCGATCGTGCGAGCGCATAAGTTCCTGCAGCATCGACGGATTACGTGCCAGCTCCATCGTTTGCCTGGGGAAGCAGTTTTCTCCAATAACATTGTGCAACATTGCACAACAATCGAGTATCTAGTTTCCAAATGCGTATTTCAAAATATTGACTGCCGCTCAGCAACTGACTCTAAAGGTACAAATCAAACACGTACTTGTAGGTCGGGAGACGGCGTTGGAAAATTTTCAATCGTAACCGATCTCCAACAAGTACGAAAAGAGACTTTATTTCAAGCCAACTCCTTGTTCAAAGTCCGATCTTTAATACTGCGTAACATCGGCGATTCATAAATGACGCTCGAGACGGTGGGAAATGCGGCGAAACATAGTTCGACTATTGTATTCAAATGGGACGAATTCTGATTGTACTTGAACGCGCGACGCCACTCACCGTAAGAGTTCAGGGTTATTCAACATGTGACTGATTTCCGGATTACGTTGCATCAGTTCTTGCATTTGGGGATTGGCGGTGACCAGATTGCGCATGTTCTCCGGATCGTTCATCAAACTCTGCACCAGCGGATTGTCGAGCACTTGGCGCATCGTTTCCGGATTCGAGAGCAATTCTCGTTGCATGCGTTGCTGTAGGTCTATGAAGTTAGCCGAGCCCAAACCGAGGGATTCCAGTCCCATCAAACCACCCAGGCTGCCCAAGCCAAACGGACTGGCACTCACGTCGGCTGTAATTTGTGTACAAGTGCCAATATCATTCTCGATACTTTTTTTTCTATCGCGTATATCTTCCTAGGCGCAATACAGATAATGCACAAGCTTACAAATGTAAAACTGAAATACTCTCATTAAATGATCTTCGGTTGCATACGTTCAATCGTAATACAAAAGATCACCCGATTCACCTAAAATCTATCGCGCTGAAAATTTGTAAGGCTGCAAAATAAAATTGATAAACAGTTTCTGTACGTTTCTAAGCAACTTTTTTAAACGTACCGTAAAGACCTGGCGCATCCATTGCGGATCGCGGGATACTTTGTGCTCTTTAACAAGTGGAGCAATGCTCCGTAACCCGCAAACAACACGTCGAATCGAGACTGAATTTCGCGTTGTTATCCAAGTAAATGAGAGCTAACGGTAAAATTGACGGAGTACCTTGTGGTCTCGGGGCCGAATTGGACTCCTGATTCTGTGTGCTGGTGCGCGGTGCCTTGATCACCAGGTGCACCGCCAGACCGTCCTTGATGTTGTGCGTGCTGAGGGTCTCGTGGTCCTTCATGATCTTCCCGGCGAAGATGAGGCACAGCTGATCGGCCTGTGCGTTGAACTTCTTGGAGACCGCCTCCTTAAACTGCCGGCACGTTCGGCGCGCGGCGGGGAAGCAGGGGGGAAAGAGAAAGAAACGAGATTAGTGCCGATCGGTTTGACAGCTGATGCCTGGCGGTGCGCCAGGAGCGGCGGCGGCGGTGGCAGCGGCGGCGGTGGCGGCGGCAACGCGCGCCATGGACGGCGCCGAGAAAAGTACGTGGCGCTCACCGCCGCCATCGTCGTCGCTCACTTACTTCCTTTATCGTCGCATTCTCCTCGATCTCCACGCTCTGCTTCTCCTTGGGAGTTTTCACGTTGATGGTGATCTTCTTCGGACCACCCTCCTGCTGGCCTTCTGCCATCTTGGATCGGTAGATGACTCGTTACTTTCGACGCTCGCGCGATACTCGGTACGCTCGCTCGCGCTCCGTCTCTCTCGCTCGCTCACCCCGTCCCGTCTCTCTCTCGCTCGAGCCCACGACCGCGGAATTGCGCACCGTGTAAATACACACCCACGGCACGGCGACGGCGACGGCGACGGCGACGACACTCCCCCGCGGCACGAACGTCCACCGCGCCCGACGCGACGGCGAGCAACTACGTTGGACTTTTTTTCCACCTACTAGCTCGGTGGGCCCGCGGAACTAGAGTGACTTCGCGGCCCGACGGTGACCAACATGCACGATGCTCGACGTTACGCGCTCGGCCATCACGATAAACACGCGTGTCGCTGTCGGATAAGCTCGCGCGAGAGACTCGCGGACTGCCGCTCCGGCGTTACCGTGCGCAGGACCGATTTCGCGGCGCGATCGCTCCTCTCGCGGAGAAGGGCCACGTAAACCACCACGACGACGACGACGACGAGAGAGCGGCTAGGTTATGTCACGCTGCTGCCACCACCGCAACGCAAAAGCACCGCCGCGACACGCACGCTCGCGCGCTCGATTCCGTCGCGAACGCGTGTCCACTTTTCAACTCGAGTCACACCGGACGCGCGCAATCTCGCGACCACCTCCCGTCAAAGAAACCGGACCGAGGTTGTCCGCTTTTTTTCCTTTACACCATGTTATTAAAATTAATCGTATCGCAATCGTCGTCTCGCATTCTTCGCTCGGAATTTCGAATCGTCAGGCTTTTTCTTTCGAGGGGAACGCGCGCCGATGGTCCTAAAGGCCCGAACACACGAAAAAAAACTCGAGACTAAAGGGAAATGACCAATGACTGCCGAGAACGTGAGCAGCCGTTGTGAAACTTGAGCGATGCTGGAAATTCTCAAGTTTTAAATCTTAATGCTCAAGTTTTTTCGCGTGTTTCCAGCTTTGAAAGCACAAGACAGCCATTTTGCTCAGACCCGAAGCCTATTCTACGATACTTGGGTCGGTGTCGGAAGTCAACGCACAAAGAATTGTCGTAGACGTATATCGCCTTGCGATTTAAGCGTTGACTTCAGACATCGACTCGCGTTTTACTACAGAAACGTAAACGCGACAATCTTCTGCTCTTTTTTTTTTCAGAAAGTTTTGCACGTATGCAAATGTACATGTGTTGGCATTTATTTACGCTTTCGTATGACACGATAAATATTCTTTTAAATCGAATCGTATATAATCTTTTTTTCCTTACGCACATTCTCGTTTTCCCCCAGAGATAATTTAACAAAAAGGTAGCTGAAATGATTGTAGATAAAAGCGATTGAACGGAACGTGAGATTGTATGTACGCATCTGGTTTCCTCAAAGTACAAGCTGGCGCATCTCGATTAACGTTATCCCGAATTTGAGCAGTTGTCGATTATTTCAACGAATATGTAAAGGCCCGCTTGAATTCACATGCCTCCCGGTCTTCAGCAGCGTGTCAATTCGCGTCCGCACAAGAGCCGCGACTCGCCGACTGGATGTAACAGGGCTGGAGAGAAGGCTCGGGCTGATTATTTAAAAATGTTTACTTAAAAATACAATCTTTTTAAACATAAATGGCAATACGAATGATTAGAAAGAGGAAAAGAAACGTCGTTCTGTTACTTAAGGTTCTTCTGTCGGAAAATGACGGTCTCCGTCGGCACCGATTTACCAGCGGCGCGAGAGTATCTCGTCGATTTTCCGTTTCGTTACGCGCGGGTTTCCAACCCTCTTGCCATGCTTGTCTGCCGATCAGCTGAGAATCCGGTTGTGTAGCACCCGAGCGATGGATATCTCTGAATGAGATTAGCGACGAACAATCACGCAGGGACGACAGGTCTTTCTCAACGATAGCTCTTGATCGACGACTTGCACTTCATTTGAAACGCTTCTATATGCTCGAGATTAACTCCTGTCAAGTAGATATAAACCTCAAATTTAGAAGTTTTAATTTAAAATTATAATTTTGCGCGAGATAACATAGCTAATCGATAATATACAGCGAACTCGAGATTTAAGATGACAACTACCTGCACTTTTCGCTAATCCATCGGGACTGAAAGTCATAGCTTTCCTATCGTCGAGTCTGCAACCCGTCAGAAGGGTCACAACCGGCACCTCTCCGTCACCAGTAAAACCGACCTTCGCCTGCTGAGTGAGGTAGTGACAACACTCTATCATCTGGAAAAATAGCCATGCTTCCTTGTCCTTTGGTTTTGGTCCTTTTATCAACGGCAGCGCGAGATGCTCGTGAGATCTCTGTGCCCGTAAAAACCTTGAGCCACGTCTAAATTGGACCTCCAGCCATCGCGTCACTTCTCTCGCCTGAACGCTTTCGTGCTTCATTTCGTCCAAAGCAGAAACAACTGGAAATGCAATCGCAGCCTCGTTAAACAGCGAAAATTAAAAAAAAACAACAACTCTTGTCTCTTCGTGGATCGCAAGATAACAGATTTACTTACCAGCCACGGGAATCACCATTATAAATTTCTTTGCGTACACCAAGCGTTTTAGAGCCGGCATATGCTTGGCTAAGGCTTCGTGATCAGGAACAAGGTATGGCGACATTATTCGAGCTCGTAACTGGCTTTCTAGAGCTCGGACTTCGGCGTTTAGCCACAACCTACCCATGTGTCTCATAAGCTTCCCTTTCGAATGTTCCAGCCCAAGGCTCTTCTCGTCCAGACCTATTACTTTCGGAGCCTTCGAGGAGATCGCGTCCATTAAGGTGAACAATCGCTCGGTGCGATCGTACTCCACCCTCGAATCCTCAACGGAACAAAGATGATGTCCGAATTCGATTAGCTTCAGCACCCTCAGTAACGTCTCTTCCCGCTTGTTCATTCGGTGTTTACGAAGTATTTGCCAGTCGAGAGCTTTGTGAGCGTTTTCCAGCAAACTCAACCCTCGGAGATCAATGTCCTCCGGTAGAGGTACCGTTTTCACACACTCCCTCAATCTCTCCACGCTGGATAGAATCGTAGAATCCTCGCTCCCCCCCACGAGAGCCTCGACGTCCACGTCGATTAGATTTAACAGGATCGTAACACGCTTCAACAATGTCCGCGTACTCTTGGCGCACATCCTTATAATGTCAGGATTACTTCGAAGCCAATCGCAGCATACCTTAACAGACACGAGGATCTCCTTGCCAACCAATATGTTGAGAATGTCGTCCGACTTTAAGCTCCGCTTCTTCAACTGTGCCGTATGAAGAATGTTGGTGTCTGCGTTGCACAAGCGATCGTTGCCTCCCTCGAAGGTGCTAGTCGAGTCAGTGTTCGTGACGGTTACGGCGCTGCTGGAATTTGTAATGGAATCTTTATCACTCGTCGCTTTCAAATCCGTCTGCCGGTCAGTCGCGTACTTTTGGCCGTTAACCAAATGGTCAGTGCCATTCTTTTCGCAATTCTCAGTTTTCTCGACAACGTCGCTGCCGTGACCGTTTATCTCTTCCTTCGCTATCTGCGCTACGTTTTCGATAGCTTGGATCTTATTTTCCGGAGATGATTCCTCGTCGTCCGTATTATCATCTGACAGTGCGTCGTCCTCCTCCGTTTCGGACACGTCGGAATTGACTTCGTCACTGGACGATGCCAGTAACGATTGGTCCAGGTCGCTCGCATCCGAATCGGAGCTGGCTCTCCTTTTTCGTCTACGAAGCTTGCTGAGAAGACTTTTCGATTTGTCGCGAGTCTTCTTGGGACCCGATTCGTTCGCGATTCCGTTGTCCATTGACTTGGCTTTGTTATTCCCATCTAAATTGAATACATTATTGTCTTTGCTCAAAGTAGAGCCTTTTTCTTCCACGTGATCCCCATTGCTCCCCGATACAGACGACGCCTGATTTTCCTGGGCATTTTTCAACTTTGTTCTTTCTACATCAGGCACTGCCGTTTCTACGATCTTCTCTTGCAATTTTCTTATTATAAATTCTAGCAATTGCGACAGTATCGCTAAAGTTATAGCAACGACGCCCTGTACTTCGTTGGATTCTTTGTTCTTTAATCTAGAAATTGACATTAAGCATATTGTCACAATCTTAAACACCATGTCGTCTGTTAAATAGAGCGTTGGTCTGTTTTTGCAATTTTGAAGATATGTTTCTATGTTATCCGCGTTTTCGAGACAATTTGAGTTACTTGGCTCGACTCGTTCCATTGCTAAACAATTCTCTAGATCGGTTAGGAGGTCCTGTTGAGAAGAAATCATCGCAAACTGTCAGATGTGTACATAAAAAAAATATTAATAAATACTTAACATTTCGCATTTCATTACATACTTGGCATTCTTGATTTATCTTGTCAGAATGTGGGTGTTCGTAATCCCATAAACGTAATAAAGAAAATAATCGCGATATGCAATGATGGACAGGATCGCTTTCATCTGTATAGCTGGACTGAGTGACTACAATTTTCCTTAAATTTCCTTCCGCCCCTTCAAATGGCTCAGGGCACAAAAGGCTGCGAGATAATTTTAGAATATTATTAATTAAAACATACTTGTTGCTAAATCAATGACCAGCGCGTCAATATCGAACAACGGCTTCTTATCAATACTAACCTCCTCATATAATGATAAACCGCATCTAATCCATAATTTTTATTACCCGCTATAGTACCAAGCTGATTGTGAGGCATACCAACGTTTGGATCAATGGCTATAGCCATCCGATAATATCTGTTTGCTATCATTGGATCCCAGTTCGAATTTAATTCTAATTTGTACCTACTCAAATCTCCAAGGCATACCAAGCTTCGATGGATCAGGCGCATGACACACTGTTTGACCTCCTTCGGATGAATTTTAGATTGCCCCGATTTACTTCTTGTCTGTGGCAAATATTAGAATCGTATTACCACAACACTGCAACGTCTTATAACATAAAAGTATAATTAAGGCAAAGTCAACTAATATATCCCCAACACAAGATCTTCATTTCCATACCCGCGTGAATTAAATTAAGCGCTAAAGAATCTTACGCATGACGAAATACTTTCATTGTGAATGAAAGCAAAGTCGACAACCCCAACGAGGTCCAAATCATATTCCATTTGCAGTCTCATTATCAGATGATGATAATATCCCACACCACCCTCCAAATGGACCGAAAGCAACGATTTTTCCATATCATTCCAGGTATTGCCCTGAAATATTGTTACATTATTAGTAATTATTTCGTATTAGTCTACGTAAAAAGCTACATGTCTCCATGTATACTTGAAACCAACAAAGTACACATAAAATAATATACAAAATCTATTACTCATACGCAGGTTCCTCTCTCATGTACTCCCTTTTAGAATCGGTGGACTACATGTAAAAAAATCAACACACGGAACAAACACTCCGCATAAATCAAGAAACAAGCATATATAATAATTTAATCAAAACTATACTAAAAAAGAATACGTTTATTTTCTCATCACAATGATCCGATGATACTGGTTCGAGAATTAGGGAAAACCAATAGAGAAATAAGGAATAAGATACGGTAAAAGGGAATTCTATGGGTGGAAAGAGAAAGCAGGTTACGAAGTTTAAAGAGAGAGAAAGAAGAGGAGAAAGAGGAAGAAATGTAAATAATACGAGATCGATATAAGACTAATAAAGTATAAATAAGGAACGTAAGATCTATACAAGTACAAATAGGCTAAAAATTTCACAAAATAGAATAAAGCTGAGCTTAGAATTGTTAAATGTAGGTTTCGAATGCAAGTAAATTAAGTAAATGAAGCAATTAGAGATACCAGTCGCAACATGGGAGGATGGAAACGAGTGTGCAAGAACGAACGAGTTAAAGAACACATTGTAAACCAGGTCCACTTGTTGGCTGTAAGCTCAAGTTAACGAATTACATACAGTTATCGTTCGGCTTTCAACGTATCGTAAGAATTACCTTCCGCAATTTTTTGGCTGCGTACACAACATCGTAGAAAGCCCTTCGCCACAGAAGCTCCTCTGTCTTGTGCGCAACGGGATCTTTCAATATCAGCCTCTCGCAATAATCCTTGAGCTTCACGCGCTGAATCCTCCCAGATGGAACAAATATGTCGCTCACTGTCAGGGCGCGATTCCTTTGCTCGTCCAACTTCCTCACGATCTCCGTCACGCTTCTGGACAGACAAACAGAACGCGTGAAGACCGAGCCAGCGCACTTTGCGCCGCGTCAAGGTCATTCAACAAGGAGACACACGCTCGATGCCGCGCAGCATTCTTATCCGCCAGCTTGTCCGTTATATAAAACGCGCACCAAGTTAAAAATACAAACGCAAAAATACCAACGTTCCAGCGATCGAACGTGGATCGATCGCGCCTGAATCGCGCGGAAGGCAAGTCGGGGGGCGGGAAACTTGGGAGAAACGCGCGAGCGAGAGGCAAGCATGGCGATTAGGACGGCGGGGTAGGGTTAGGTTCACATCTCTCTCTCTCTCGATCCACCTTGCCCTCGTCTCGTCGCTACGGGAGGATCAGGTTTCTTTCCCTCCGCAACGAGGAGACGAGTTCCGCGCTTACTTGTGCAGACGTCTCGTGACTTCGAGGCAGTCCGTCGTTCGGGCCTCCGCCGCGGCGTTATACGATCGTCTCATTTTGCGCTACTCATGACCCGCGTTCCGGCCGACTCGTCGCTACTCATTGCCCCGCAGTCCCCTGGGACGCGCATCTCCTCCGCAGACTGAGAAACCTCGACATTCGTCGCCTCGTACGTCGACACGCGTCGGTTCGGGTCGTCGCTGCTCTACCCGTGCCGTCCCGTCTCGGTGTCCACTTCCTCTTTCCGTCGCTCCAATCGCGAGACTCGTCCACCGTCCGCGCGCGGCCCGCGGCGCCCGTTCACGGCCGGCGCTGATTGGTGCGCGATCGTGGACTACGAGTTTCCGTCGAGACGGCGCGTTTCCTAACCTCAAGCAACGTCGCTTTAATTATTTCAACAACTGCATGATTTTGTAATTGCGACCTTTGTGCCTCGTAAACGTCAAAATGTCGTATATGCTGTCGCATTTGGAAAACGGCTATCAAGTCGATCAAGCCATTCTATCGGAAGAGGACAGAGTCGTGGTGAGTTTGTCCAATGTTTCGTTCAACGTATTTAAGGCCCGGTTTCGCCAATTTGCTTAACTTTAATTTCAGTTTAATTCATACCTATTCGTCTCTTTTTAGAGTGGCAGTTGGAAAGGGACAAACAACGAATTAAGCTAAGCTGAAAGTTAGGCGACATTGGTGCAGCTGGACCCAAGACCCGGTTTCACCAAACGTCGCTTAACATTAATTTCAGTTTAATTCATGTTTGTCTCTTTTTGGAGTAGCAGTTGGAAAGGAACAAAGAACGAATCAAGCTAAGCTTAAAGTTAAGCGACATTGGTGAAACCGGGCCTCAGTCACTTTAGACTAGTACGAAATCAGTTGCTGATGGAATTACTTAGAATTACAATTCGCACCGTGGAAGTAATGTCCCACCTTCTAGGTGATTCGCTTCGGGCACGATTGGGACCCGATGTGTATGAAGATGGACGAAGTTCTCTACAATATCGCGGAGAAAGTCAAGAACTTTGCCGTTATTTACTTGGTGGATATCACAAAAGTGCCAGACTTCAATAAGATGTAAGCGAGAACTTGTACTCTACTATCGATGACCAATTAATGATTCAATTACTTTCATTGACCTTCGAGTTGTACTCGTGTATATAACAGTAATTGTATGTACTTTTTGCAGGTACGAGCTGTACGACCCGTGCACAGTAATGTTCTTCTTCAGGAACAAGCACATCATGATAGATTTAGGTACCGGAAACAATAACAAGATAAATTGGACTTTGGAGGACAAGCAGGAAATGATTGACATCATTGAGACTGTTTACAGAGGTGCGAGGAAAGGTCGAGGTTTAGTCGTTTCGCCTAAGGATTACTCTACCAAATATCGATATTAATTTATTCACGAGATACCTGAATGTTCTTGTATTTTGAAAAAGGCTATTGATGCTGTATTTATTTCATGGCGAGACATCGCGTGGAATAATTTGGATGTATCTGATTTCGAATGGACAATGTATTATGAGCTCTGTTGTAATTGATATTGCGCTTATCCTAAAAATAAATTAAGTATATAAGGTATAAAGGTGTACAAAATAGACTATACGAATAAGTGTACATACGGTTCTTCTGTCAAGACTACATATATTTTGAAGAATTTTATAAAATGGTCTTATCGGTATCTAAACGTATGCTCTAGTTACAATATCCGTCTCTGGTATATAAAATGTTTTCTAGTTGGACTAGAGGTTATTTAAGGCGTGTGTTAGATAATAATGCTGATAAGCATATGTAGTATCACATAATATATTCTACAGGGTTGGAAAGTTACTCTATAAGAGTATCTGGTTACAGTTACAAGTAGCGAGTTGCTTCCCAATCCCGATACTCTGACATGGCATGTATGCTTGTGATTATTTATGAGAAATAGTACGTGAATGAAATATATACATCAATTCTTCATTGAATTATATTTACATGTAATTACAGTTTATACTTGAACCTAATATTTGTCCATTTGATGGTCAACTTAATACATTAATAGTTATGATTCAGTCGTCTCTCATATATCTGCAAAATATGTAGACTTAGCAAATGACCAGTTGTTAAATATAAAGAGAAAAGTTTTAAGAGATATCAGACTTACCGTTTGTAGCGTGTTGCGCGCTGTCGCCAAGTATATCAACTGATCTTAAACATGTTAATAAAGGAAGGCTCTCCTGCGTTAAGGTTTCTCTATTTAGCTCGCATGACGAGTCTCTCAGTGATTTAAAGATACAATCCAGAGTTCGGGATTTTCCTGGAAAATAGTCGAAAAGAGATATTTACCAATATCGTTCTTACAATGAAAGTAGAAAAAGGTTTATATATGCTATTGTTACTGACCTATAGCAAAGTGATGAGTTTTTACATTTATGGCACCCATTGATTTGCACTGCCTCAAATCTTAAAGTAAAATTATGTGGAATAAAGTCTGCCGCATTACACAGGTGACATTTAAAATAGATTACGTATTGAACTTACCGCTATTTATTATGCTTTTTGAAGTTGATCGAGGAGAGAAATTGGAAGAGATTGATTCCAGAGACTCCATGGATACAGAGTTGTGTTTCTTTACTGAAACAATATGAACCGTACAGTACATTAAAAAAGAATAGCTGGATAACAATACAAACAACTGTGCAATATGAACTGACTTGAAAAAGCAGTTCGATGATTATAGCTTTAAAGGAAAACATTACACTAATATAATTTTGCTTTTTAATATGACACAAAAAATAATCACTGGCCTATAATACAATTTCTTCGTTCCATATTGCATTATGTCCAGTTTGTAAATAATCATAAGCGTATATCAACTGCGAAATTCTTTTCAAACCATACGTGCAGAAAAGCAAAATGAACATGTTACACGTTTAGCTCAGAGAAGATTACATAAGTGATAAATAGATATACATATGAGTGGATTAAATGAGGCAAGAGGGGAAAGCAAAGCGAAACGAAGATGACGCGATCCAAGCGTTTGTTCCTACCTCATCACGTATTAGATAGTTGGAGAGACTCTCATTCTGTAGTACAAAATAGATTAGTGTTATTTCTATCGTGCTTTCTTTAATACCATTGATAATACCATAAGAGTAAAGAATAGTCTAGTCCGCTACAGAGAATAGAGTATATACATATGTACACGTGTTAAATATATATCACATACATATTTCAATATTGTTGACTAGATTCGTGTCTGAATTCGTTGTATCTTTGGCTTTCATAGAGGTGTTCTCATATACTGGCTCAACTGGTGGTGGTTTGTCTACGAGAATGTAAAATAATTAATATTTTCAGAAAAATATTACATCAACTATACTCATTGTAAAAGATACTCACAAGTTTTTAAGAAATAAGGATTCTTGAGTACTTGCTTTATACAATTATATATATAAGCGTATTGGCTCTGAAAATGTGAAGACGTTCTTTTTATGTCGTATAAGTATATGCAAACATTAATATATAAAATATCTGCAAATTATCAAAATGTGGATATAAAACGTGGAATCAGCTTTTTTTTTACTAAAAATGTCGAATATTTGCAATTTCCTGAATTCCAGCATTCGGTACTTTATTCTAACTAGTTTCTAGTGAATTTGATTACACGATTTGGTTTATGTAATTACTTACTTCTCTTTGTACCATATTTATTCTATGATGTCGCAATCTATATACAGTTCCGAATACATCTAATTTCCTATTATCTCTAATTTGTTGCAGAAGAATATCTATCGCTATTAATGTTCCCGTTCGGCCAATTCCTGCACTGTAAAGTAACGATATATTTTTTATATAGAAGCATAAATCAATTAATCGCAACGCTATGATTGCCATGAGATGCAAAACAGTTTTATTCGTATAAAATTTATTATTCATACCTGCAATGAACGACGATAAAACCTTTATTAGCGGTGATATTGCGGCGCATTATTTGGCAAAAATTGATCATCGCATCGAAATCCTCTGGAACATCGTGATCGGGCCAGTCTTTAAAGTGCAGATGAGTAATGGTCCTTTTTTTATTTTCCTGTAAGTATTCGTACTCTTCACAAATATATTCTTGGCATAAAAATTTTCCAAAATAAAAACAATATAAACCTTTTGTAATACGAGCGTTCTTTGGGTGTGCGTCTTGAAATCTAATTCACTCGTACATCGTATCGTCATGTTCTCATATCGGAAAGACTCGCTTATTTTCGGATAATATTGATGGCATTTCTCCTGAAACGGACATTAATGTACGATAAACGGCATTTGATATTATGCAATATTGTCGGCGATCATAATTTACTTTGCCCTTCTCAACCAGCTGCGTCAGCATGACTATGATATTAATGTTATACTGATTGACCATTCTCCAGAAATCGTAAGTGGTTTCCTCCTTCGGACCTTGACAGGCTATGTATTCATCTTCTCCCGTGTATCCCTAGCGCAAAATACAGTTTTGTCCCTTAGAAATACTCGTAATACTTTTGCCTAGGCAAGACCCATTTCACTCTTCGATGGAAGAAGACTGTCGAGTCAGTGCGCGTACAGCACACGCGCGTATGTAAAATATTTACCTTTATGAGCGATGCGTTGATATAATCCGTGTTCGGGTCGTTATCTATCACTTCGAGCTTCACTCTTGAGAAATCATCTGAAAGCATGAATCATGTATAAGTCGCGAGTCGCGAGCGAATTGCAAGGCAAGTGCGTACAGGGCAAAATATCGGAGTAACGATTTTTCTTCCGGTTGGCTTGCAGGCAGGCTGTATTCGTGGGCATCTGCAGGTCGACGCTGAGTGTCTGGAGCAGCCGAAATTCATTGCTCAGTTTCCCAGGATTGTCCACCAACTGCTGACAGTGGCTGATGAACTTCTTCCTGGTGAACGGCGCGGGCACGGGCGAGCCGGGCATGTCAGAGTGAAGAAATCGGCGAAACACTCTGGAACGAAAGAGATTACGGCGAACGCGAATTATTCTCTATAAAGCGTACAACACAAGAAGCCGTAATAATATATATCTTATCTCGTATATTTAATCAATAAATGCGCAATCGAAAAATTATGAGGATAAGATACGTGTGGAGAAATGTATGCACGTACATGTGTATGTATGCGTGCTGAAAAAAATTTTCTCGCTTCAAAGATAAGTTTCACATTTAAAACTACAATTCTATCAGACGAGGTGTTGACTCCTTTTCCTCCTACTTTTTGCCTCTCACGTAGCCTCGTGTTCCGTTCTCCTTGAGAGCAATAAAATAATAATACGTTGTTTGACGAAAGCGGTCTATTGAAGAAAAGAAAACGAGAAACTTTTTGTGCGACTTATTGCGCGTGTGTGTCACGATAAAATAATAATACGTACGAAACAGCGTGCGTAATAAAACATTAATATGTAACACGCGCAGAATACATAAGAATACATACACGTGTATGTAAAGTGATGGAGATTAGAAAAGTGGTCGCTGAATGCGTTTAACGTTTTCCGCTAACGGGTTTGACGTACGCTCGCCGAAGCAATGATGAGAATCGCTAGCCAAAGTGCGCAATAGCATCCGCGTTTCGTATACGCGTGTCTTTCCTTCGCCGGTGTAGCGTAGGCAGCTCATTCATAGTAGGGGAATAAAACGAAAACTTACGCAATGAACATACGCGCCTGGCTAGAAACGGACCCAAGGACTCTGTTCCCTCCCAAAGGTCAGAGTCATAGCCGAATCTCTGTCGATCTCCGTGACGACGCTATCTCTATTGTCCCGCACACGCACGCTTGCGAACGTATTTTCCGAGTAATTTAAAAATACCCTCGACTTTCCGCAGCTCAGTGGTAGCACGCGGTCGCACGGCGACGTTCAAACCTCATCGAGCACCGACCGTACTGTACTGTATATCCTAGCGTGCGATAGACGCGCGTGTATCGCGCGACCTTGCTCACGCCTTAGCTATAGTTCTCTCCTCTGTGAGTCATACAATAAATATCGATCATTGTTCATAAACGCGCGCGTGCACCTGTCCGGCGGATTTTCGAGTCTACGCGCGCGGCGTCGCGTCAGTGACGTGATTTCACCGGCTGGCCCGTATATTATTATTGTTGCAATTTTCCGCTTGACACTTTTTTCCTGCGGAAATCTTATCTTATCTTATTCCGCTGTGTTACGCGATGTAGAACGAGTTCCAATTATCCTCGATCGAGATGTGTATGACTCGACATTGTCGCTCGTGTCTTCGATCAAGATACAAGAGCGGCATCGATACGCGTTACATAGCTCTCTTTTTTTTTATCGGTTACGTATGTTACAATAATGAGATTGTGACTTACATGTACGGCGAGCATCTTCGCACGAGCAGCATCATCGTCACGACGATCCCCACGAAAAGAATGCTGACGACAGCTCCGACAATGAGAGCGACATTCAGTTCTGCGTCTGGTATTACAGAAAAGAAAGGGGACCGATATATGAAATAATATATGTGTCACGTATTTCCGTTGCGTAAGGTGTTTACAATTAGACGGACGACCGTTCGACGGTCAATGATTACAAGATACGCACTCGTTTTTATCATAAATGTCTCGGAATCGGCGTAGCCGCCGTCTGTAAACGCCCTCATTCTGACGTGGTACCACGTGTCCGGTTTAAGAGGCCCGTTGCAGTACACCCGGTCCATCTTGGACGAAATCTCCTTGCAGTCATTGTCATCGCCGATCGTATACTTGACGGCTTTCACGTGCCCGTAATCAACGATGTAGTTCGCTAAACAGAGTCGCAGATATTTTAATAATACATGCGCGACGTAGTCTCAGCGCTTGGTAAACAATCGTCCTGCATCTGTTAGCATATCACCTACGATAAGGATTCCAGTGCTTCCACGTCGCTTGATACGTGATTGTGAAATCGTCTATCATCGCTTCCTCCCAGGAGGACGCGTTGGGCCAGTCCTTGCTGGCCAAATCGAACCTCGTGTGCGACCGTACACTATTGTGTCCCATCTTCGCCACCATGATCGCGTAGAACTTGATGTCGCCGCTGGTATTAGGGAATATGGGCAGCAGAACGGCAGCGGATGTTGTAGATCTGCGCACCTTGTACGGATCCAGGGTGATCGATTTAACGTCTTCGTCCTTAGGCTGCGGCGGTACTACGACAGAAAAAGAGTCTTCTTAATTGTTCGCAGAAAAATTGAAGATGACGTACACGGAAAAAAATATGCTCCAAGTTGCTCGAATTAAATGTTGATGTCACGGACTGCCACAGACATAAATAATTCACTCAATTGTATTTGCTATCGAACTAAATATCTAGACTATCGAGACAACTATCTTATATTTTTACACTGAAGTTGTGGATACATCATTTTTTTCCGTGTAGACGTGTCCCGCCTAGTTTTATTCATCTTGAAGATGGAGAACGCGGCAATATAGAATTCTGATATATTATAGGTCCGAGAAAAAGTTTAATGTAACAAAGGAAAATTATTAAGAGAATTATTCACACTGGTACTTACTGCCGGCAGGATATAGCACGTTTTCACTAACTGGCTGCCCGAGCGTATCGACATCCATAACTTTGGCGGATATCGTAAAGTTATAATTGTACTCTCCTTTCAATTCGCCGAGATTTATCGAGCACATGTAATTGTTGCTAACGTAATCGCATTGGGACTTCCTGAAGATAAAATCGGGCAGATATTCGTCTCTGGTACCAAGCCCCGATATGTTAAAGAAGTCGAGGTTACCGTTTAATGAACACGGAAAGCCCCATGTCAGAATCGTATCTAACACGTTCGCATTACTTGAACTCTCTTTGATTATGATGGACGAGGAATTGAATTTCGAGACTGCCCCTGGAACTGAATCGATCACAATCATAGCATGCAACGTTTAGAATAGTCGAAAAAAAGGAAGAGAAGCCATTATGGAGGTTTCCATACCGTTAAAACTGTTACGTGATATTTTCGTAATTGCATAAATATTTTACCAATAATATAAATCGTTTATCAACGAATGTTAACTTAGATCGAGTTGTTTATATTAAAATTGTATTCTTGATAAAATATTAACCCACCAGAAACGGTTTAGTATATTTCAGGGATTAAGAATAATCTTGCATAAGGAAATGAAGATATGAGAAACGTAAATACCTCCGCTATTACTGAAAATTGTTTTGGGTTCGCTGCTGTTGCCCCATCCTGCCCCTGTTCTCGCTCTCATGCACACTTGGTAGCTCGTGAATGCCTTTGCTTCGAGATAATCGTACTCAAACACGCTCCCGCTTGTATTGAACTTTTTAGAATGATCGTTATCTTGTTCTTCGCGAGGGCACCAATTTGGAATCGGATACAATAGTACCCAGTCGACTATGATTTCGAATTCCTCTAAATGACCAGGCAAATAATCCGGTTCTTCCCAAGACACAGAGAATTGTGAGTCCGTGATGTTTCCGATTGAAAACTTGGGTGGAGACGGTACTAAAATTGTAACACAAGACATCAGCTGACGCTAAATTAATAAACGTTAAGTCAATCAATTATTATAAATATATCCTGCAATGTTAGCGATGTCCAACAAGTGTATTAATAAATATATAACTTCGTTACAAGTAACGAGGTATTTCCAACCCTGCGTAATTGATAGTGCGTGCAATTACCGTCCTGCAGCGTTGTGGCATTGACACCGTCGCTCAAGTCACTGTATCCTGCGCTATTAACGGTATGCGCCCAGCAAGTGTAACTCGTGAAAGGGGTCAGTCCGTCTACGGTTACATTTAGGTCTACGGTAGGATCTGCAGCGGTATCGCGATCTATTTTCATCGAGATCACGCGATTATCAGGCTCGTAGCCTTTCCCCTGCCTTTCTGTGTAATTGCACATAGTTATTATGGACGACAGCGGGCAATGATTGTTTTCTTTCTGGATGGTCCAGATGATAAACAGACTCCTGACGCTCGGCATTACTCCCGTAGTAGCATGTGAGATTGGTGGATTCGTTACTGAAATATTGAAGAAAACTTTTTCGTCAAATTCAATCTTCATGCCCAAACGTTGACGAGTTAAAACAAGAATATTCACAAGGCTCTAATGTGAAAACACAAATACGAAGTAATAAAATTGTAATTTTAAGTCTATTGCGAAAAATAATGATGAGTTGATAAATTAACTGCCATCATACCGCGTGCGATATGCACAAAGAAAGAAGTCTAAGCTAATTTTGCTTACTGTGTCGAAGCGTGGTAGCGCTCTTATCTATCTTTTCTCCCTCTACGTCGTCTTTGTTCACGGCGTTGATGTACACCTGATACATCTTGCAAGCATGCAAATCCGAAATAACCATACTCGTGTTCGTAGTATTGTCGCTGAACTTGAAATCCGTAGTTACGCGATAATGCTTCAGGCAGGCTGTGCCAGACTCCGGCGGCTCCCATTTCACGATCAGCGAAAAATTGCCAGGTTCTACGTGGAAGGACTGCGGCGCCGACAATTCTGTAAATTGTCCATGTGTCAGAGACGGATTTGCCGAAGATCGAAACTGGTTGTCTTGAAGCTGGCGGAAAGCGGAGCGGAGAGTACGCTTTGATCGAGCGGAATTTTAATTCCGGACTTATTCGCGAAGGCCCAGTAAACTACAACTAGCGGCACAACATCGTATTAAAAACTATAATTTTCATGCTCAACAATTTAACTGCGATGTGTAACATAGGTGATATTACACTTGTATTGCTGAGTGGAAAATTATAATATTGTACGATGTCGCTGTTGGTTGGTGTTTACCGGGCGAGACGTCGAGCTTGATAAGATAATCTATCAATTTCGCGGGGACAAATTGGTCGCAAATTTCACATGCATTCTACGAGACTCTCCGCCAACTTTTCCACCAATTCCAGGGCGGTTCGAGCTTACTCGGCGAGGCCGTCGTCGCAGTCTCGTTTACGCCGGCAGACTCCACGGACGGCGTCACGGTTTTGACGGTGAAGTGATACTCGGTGCACGGCTCGAGATTGTTGGCGGTGTAGTTCGTGACTGCGGCGGAAACTGTGGTCTCGTCGCAGGACTTGTCGTTGCACCGGGCAATGGAATAGCTGGATACGCATTTCGCGTGCGTCGCGGGCGCCTGCCAGGTCAATTGGACAGCGCTGACGCTGACGGTGCGCGCGCTCAGGGAGTCCACGTCCCCGATTTCCGAAACTGTGGAGAGTCAGCGTGATGAAGATATTCGATATTGATTGATCTCTCTTATTTTAACGAGAGTTAAGGAAAAGACCCAGCTGTACACTCACTGGCGTGATCCGTTGTGGCTGACAGATCAGCTCCGGCAGACTCCCAGGACTCGAAAAGGATTTTCACCTTAAACTCGTACCCCGCGCACGGCTCGAGATGGGTGGCGTTGTGCCGGGTACCGGTCTCGTTTGTCTGCGTGCAATTTCGATCGTCGCATCTCTCGACCGAGTATATCACCGGGACGTCCGTCACGTTGCACGGGGATTCCCACGAGAGAGCGATCCATTCTGTGCCTATCTCGGCCGTCAAGTTGACTACTTCCCTCGCATCCGCTGATGGCAAAATTGCTAAACGTGAATGTTCCAGGACGAAACGTACCGCGATGGAACGATCGCTGATAATCTTTCGAAAAATTCAACTACACTAGAGGGAAGTTTCCTATTATGAGATAGGATCCTAATACGGGATAGCGGGATTTCTATTAAATGTAGGCATCATCAGGTGCTTCCACTATGAAGTTATTGCCCTTGGAGCGAAATCTGGTTGGTGGAAAATTCATTGTTAGATTGTATGATCGTTGCGAAGGGAGATTTGTGGTTGAATTTGGGTGTTGAAAACCTGCTATCTCATAACAAAGGACCCTTCTCTATTAAATTCTAGAAGAAGAACGCGAGAAAATGTCACGTTCATAGGCAAATTTTATATTCAAGACCGTCTTAGGATCATCTTTAGATACTCCGTAGCTAATGCAATGTTCCATACAGAATCTTTAGATCAATTCGAGGTCTCGGATATAAGATTTGACTATGAATACTATAGCCTTAGATCCATCGGTACTTGCCCGAACATAAATATATTCGTTTCTAAAACAAATTCTCTGATCTGTTGAACAGTAAATTCTTACACCGGAAGGACCATCTTAATTACCGCTTGCGTTTATCGGCCACGTCGGGTCGCAGACCGTCGTACCAATCGTACTATCGATGGCAGTCACTTGGTTGGGCGCAGTAGTAGACCTCGTAGTACGATCGACGGTCGTGGACGATGAGGATTTGTCGTCACCGGTGGCCGGCTGTGAAACAGTCGTCAGGGGTTCCACGGCGGGTTCGTCGAAATTCTCGAGGCTATTCCCCGCAGGTCGGAAGATTCCCTCGTAGACCGGGTCCGCCGGCGCGGCGAGCGTCGTCCCTTCCGACGTGGACGCGCCATCGTCGCAGAGCGCGCACAGGAGGCGGAGAGCGAGAACGAGCAATGGCAGGCGCCTTTCAAGGATCATGTTCTAACGAATGCTGCAAACAAAGCGAAACTGACGCATGTCACAACTTGGCACGTCCCAACTGCCGCGGGGTAACTTGACTTTGGCGGCGCCTTGTGCTCGCGGGCGCACCAGTAAACCGGAGGCAAAATCGCCCGGTCCCGCTGAATCGGCGCGGTCAAAGTTCACTATTCCAGGTCGAGCGACTTGGAAAAACTCCGAGGACCCACGTCGTGCGCTTAGGTAGGCGATTTTTGGCGATCGTTCGGCACAGGTACCAATTAAAGTGTACCGGAGTGCACGGCGTCATGAAGGCCTTTGCACCTGAAAATAGCCGTCAGGTTCAATATATTCCGATGGAACGATTCGTTTTGTTAAAATAAACTTCTCTACTGGATATCTTTAAGCGTCCTCGGGTGCAAAGGCGAGCATATACGCTCTGGTACACTTCGGCGCGCGTACAAAGCAGTCGGCGAAAATCGCCCTACGTTAATTGATCAGCACCGAACAACGCGTGTATTTCAACTTGGAAATAAGAGGCGTTTCCACTTGGACTCTCTTACGTGACTTCGAGCACAACACTTCCCTCCCGCGGCGAGTCACGACGCAATATCTTCAAGTGTCGCCGCTGACGCAAGAGTCAAAGATTTCTATTAAAATGTAGCGCATCCCCCGGCTGCCGCAGAACGGAAGCGATTTGGAAAGCGACGTCATTTGCAGCGCGCTCGTATCTGCTTCCTTTCACGCCCGCCCGAAGGACCGCGTGCGTCACCGCATCCCGGCCTTTTTCTCCCCGGGGGCCCGTCCTTTTCGAATCTCCGCGTGTTTCCACACCGGCGAGCGGAAGCTTGTTTCCGTCGGATTTGAATTTGAAATTTATTAAAGTATACGTATAACGCGCGCTGAAAACCTGCAAAGCCGCGATCGGCGACTCGCTTCGACGCCTTCGCGTAAGATCCGAGTAATTGTGTTCTAAAAGGCCATTACTCGCGTTGCATTATTGATATGCGCGCAACATATACCGTACACCCGACGATTTTCGATCGACGCAACGGTACGCTTCTTGGAAAATCACCTCGCGGGGCATTGCGTGCTTTTGTTTTCTTCTTTTATCAACGCATAACTGGATTTTCACCGGGGCTTAGATTAGAGTCGCGACACTCGGCCGCCGCCGCCGATCGCGAATCGATAATTTATCGGTGGTACCGCGCGCGATTGTAATGTGCCGTGCTGTATCGGCTCGCGCGGTCTCTCGGTGACTGTGGAGAACGGCCAGTAAGCAGTAACTCGTTCGCCGTCGTTGTCGGCTGCGCTTTCGATAATCATTGCCCAACTCGACCGCGCTCGTTGACAGCCTTCCGCCCGGTTGGCTGCTTGTCGCCGCTCCGCTAGTTGATATCACTGATAACGGGCTAGAGTCCACTCGTCCGAGAAGAGCGCACTCTTTTGCGGCCACTTTATTAATCAAATATACACGCGGCGCCGCGCCGGCCCCGAGTTCTATTTTTTTTTCTCCCTTTACGTTCTTTCCGCTGGGAAAGAACGGCGTTTTTCCATCCCGCGCCCCGATATATAATCCCGCCTTCCGATATTACTATCTGAAGCCGCGACACTTTTAACGTGCCACTTGTCTCTTCCAATTCGAGAAACGGCCGTTGCCCCGCGACTTCTAACATCGTCGATCCAATCGATCTTCTCGCGATCGAGGAAATCAATTGAATTCTTAAAAGCGTCTGCGTAAATTGCTAGCCAAAAGATGTAACTTTTGCACTTTTATCGATCATTTTGTAATTCGGAATTTCCTTAAATTCATGAATTTTAATGAATACCATTCTCGGTTATTTACATCAGGCGTGTTTTCTATTTTTGCCGCACTGGTGAACTAGTGCAGTAAGCTAGAGTGAAAAAAAATACTTGTCTTACTTTAATTCATTGCACTAGTTCACCAGTGCAGTAGCAGAAAACAATTCACTTATCTCGTGCAAGACAATCGACTCAAGATCGCAGCGCACTTTTCCCCCCGTTTTGTAACAATCACTTTTGCAATTTAATCGCTAACCATCCTCACCGAAAACTCCGACTTTCGTAATTCAATAATGCAAACGGTTATCAGCGATTTTTTTCTCGCTTCGCTCGCCACAATGCAAAGTTCGAGAAATATAACTAAATATAACTCAAAGTTACGTGCTTATCTCGCATTTTACGGAAGCTGACAATTTTATCAGAAATCAGAAATCAGGCCTCCGTATCAGTAAATTGTTTCTACGAGTAGAATTCAGTCTTATCGTCCATTATTTATCAATTAATCCTATCGCCTCTGTTCTCTCCGTATTTTTCAACATTATTATTTTCGAGACACGTTTCGAAGTTTTATCTTACATGTTGGAATAACTGAAATTACATTGCACTCGCGTATGAAAATTAAATAAAAACCGAAGTTTCGTCATCCATATTTACGCAAGGCAACCAAAATCTGCGTTCATAAACACTACCGAATCTTGATAATTGATAGTCTCTTTTTTATCTCCCTTTGTCCTGAAATAACCTTAATATTTTATATATCAAGTATATATTAATTTTATATCATTAGAATACGTATTGCGTACACCTGAGTAAGATATACTAGGCCGGTTCTGGATCAAGAGTGGTGGGGGGTCATAAATCTTTTTTTTTTCTAACAAAAAATGATTTATGTCTGTTTAAACAATTTTTTCTAAACGAAAAGAGGATTTATGTTTGTTTAAACAATTTTCTTTCTAACAAAAAAATGATTTATGACCAAAAAAATGATTTATGACCCCCCACCACTCTTGATCCAGAACCGGCCTAGTATATCTACTCACCTGTACTCTGCATTCTAAATTTATTTTATAATAAAATTATTGTTACATTATTTTAAAAACTTACAATCTTAAAACTTACAAGACTTAAAATTAAAAATTATTATATTATTAAAAAAAACAAGTATAACGAAAAGAATAACAAATAAAATGACATTCGAGTACATAAATACAAGCTGAAAGCATTCCCGTGAGATTTGGAACACCTTCGTGAAGAACACCTCGACGAAGGATCTCGAATCCGTCATTTATCCCTGACTCTCGAGAGCGAGTTCGAAGCACGTTGAAGCTTACCCGAACACTTTACTCCATCAATGCTCGGCCAGGAATCCCGCGAGGGGCCAAGTCGAGGAATGCGCGTAGCCGTCGGGAGAATTTCGCAAGGATCGCGCGCGTAAAACGTGCGAAAAAAGGGGGAACGAGAGACTAAACGCGGGTCCTCGGCTTCGCAGGCATCTGCTTACGAAGCGGAACTCGAAACCATGTGCCTCTTCAAAGCGCAGCGACCGCCACCGAACTGCCCCCACAAAGATCGTTGGAAATAGCGTGGTTGTGTGGTGCGTGCCCGTTCAAGTTTAGTAGACCTCCGTAGGACCCACGCACACATGCGCGGTCCCCAAAGAAGCGTACGTGAACCGGATCCAGGGTCCGGCTACGTCCTTTATCGCGTGACACGTAGATCCCTTACCTACCACATACTTTCCCGATGGGTTCTAACGAACCTTAGCAGGTAGCTACTGCATGGATGACGAAACCAAAAAGAATTCCAACACCTTTAATTATTCACCTAAAATAATCTCGAGACACGTTTATTTATCGCCTACTAGACTCACACGTGCGATATCGTTAGAAATTTTTCTCTTTTTTTTTATTTACTCTGAATTACAATCGTTCACTTATACGGTTTCACTCCAAAGCATAAGGAGTAGTTATTGGAAAAAGCTACTGTATTATTTGTTCAATAATTACTTTGTAAATATTTTATAATAACGCGTATTCTTTCCGCGACGTAGCGATAAAGCTTTATCGTCTCCTTATCGAAAAGTTTCTGAAATCAACGAATTCGCATTGCTTCGAACGTTATCAAATATTTATTACACTGCGGAATTATACCAACGTCTGTCCTATCGAGATTCTAAGACCGGTATTCATAGTCAGATCTTATATTCAAGACTATCTTAAGATCATCTTTAGATACTCGGTAGCTAATGAAATGTTCTATACGGCATCTTTAGATAAATTCAAGACTATCTTGAATCAAAGATCAGATTATGAATACCGGTCAAAACATACAAGATAGTAAAATTCTCGAGTATCTAGAAGTTTTATATTCAGCGGCCAATCAACACGCTTGAAAAATTTGTCGTACGACAAATGTAATATTAGCCTAAGAATTTGAATGACTTTGAAAGTAGCGTGTCGCATCTACAATATAGTAAAGCATTTATTTGTGACAAACGTAATGGAAGAACAAATTTATAGTTTTTACAGTTTTATTGCAATGAATGTACATTTAAAATGTATCGTGCCAAGTTCGACTTAGTACAGTCTCTGTGGCGGTCCCATGGTGGACTTGATGTGAAGCGAGCGCACATTCTGCCAGTGTTTCTTCAACAGGGAGACAAGGAAGTTTATCGAGAGGTGGACATTTTGCACCAACTCATCGGGTGTCATTTCAATGTGTCCGACGGCTACTGACAGACACAACACCTATAAAATAAAAATAATCGTAGAAAATACACAAGTACGAATTTGTATATTAATGAAAAACTTAATAGAAACTACTCGGGCAACGCACTTTCTTCATTTGGAATTTAATGGTGGCCTTAACTTCGTCGATTTTGGCAACCATCGATTCCTGGTGCGACAACAGCCCAGGGAATTTACCGGCCTTGTTTAAACCAGGACCGAGAAGACGGGGAATTTGCTTGATCAACGACTCGCTAGCCAAGAACGCGTCGTATTTTTTCGCTGCAAAAAGAACACAAATGCATGACGAACGTTATTTCATTTAATCCTCGGATATCATAAATTTTGTCAAAACACTGGAAGCTTCTCTATCAATAACCGAGAAAATTTCTGCATGAAAAAATACCTTTGTAAAAAGGTTTTTGAAACTTTTTTAAATGAAATACATGTATCGACACGGATTGAGTGTAATGATACGATTCACATTACCCACACCTAGTGAAGAAACTTTAATCTCCTTCTACTTGACGACCACCATTGTTCGAGTATTAAGCAATGATGGTGCTTTTGAGAAGGTAACTCGACTGTTTGAGAAACCGTGAAAACGCATTAACCTACCGAGTTTCTTTACGAGCTTCTTGTTCTTGTTAAGTTTCTTCAGCGCTTCTGCATCCATGTACGGAATATTATTAGCTTTAGATTCATCGCAGTGCTGCTGGTCGCCAAGAACACATACTTGCATTTTTGGTCTGGGAATATTCTTCAACCTAACATGACGAAAATCAACGGTGATCAAAGCTTGAGTACGTCACGTATACTGTTATTAAAAAAATAATATCTAGAGTCCCAATGTTCTCAGGCTTAAATGTGTTTCACCACACAAATTCTTCAGATAATACATGCAACAAATAAAACATCATAGAACGCTGGCGACTCGATAAAGTTTGACTGTACAATTGATCGTTGAAGGGAAATTTACAGTGTTGCCCAAGAATCTCTTAAAACTATTCTCTTCCTTTAATGAATATAGCGTTCCCAGAATAACTTACCAACAGGATCGTGATCCTGTATTTAAATAACGGTATAAATACCTCCCCAATTAATTTAAGACCCTGGGTGCAGGTCCGCCAGATAAAATCTAGCTCCCTGACGTGATCTGAGGCAATTTTGATACGCATTCCTCTTAGCGAAGAACATCAAGTGACCAAAAACATGCCCCAGAGTCAGGTAGAAACGTACTTGACTGTGCCAGAGAAACGCTTGTCCTTCTGCGGATCATAGTTCTTCAAACCGATCTGCAACTCTATCGTTTCCAAGAACTTCCTCTTCTTGTCTTGCGAGTTCTGGAGCACGGCGTTCACGCACTCGTACAGAGTGTCGCGGGATACCTTCGATCTGCAATCAAGCCGAAATAAAACGCACGTGCAGATTTGAGGAAAAAAGATTTTTGTAGAAACGAAGCGTGTACTCGAAAACTCGGCGATTGTTACACGGTCTCTGCAATATTTATCCCCGCAACAGAACTATATTGTTAGAAGATCGTACCATTATTATAAGAAAAAACATCCGGAGTCCCAATGTTTTACCACACAAATTGTTCAAATGCACGTAATAAATAAAACATAGAACGTTGGCGACTCAACGTTATTTTATCTATAAATCTTTAAAAAAGTTATCTCGCATACAATACACGTTATAATAATGCAGATCTACCAAGCATGTGC